TTTGATGAATTTCATAAGTTCAGTTTTTGGTGAAACCCCATTTATAGGCTCCGCTATACAACCAAATAATATGTCTGTATAAAGCAATACAGTTCAACACACGACACAAACTACACCCCCACAATATAGTGGAATTAACACTATAAAACAGTATTAACAAAAACTGAACATGAAGGCAGGATTTATTGCAGGACTAAATATACACAGCATTATGTGTACCTAATAAACTGAAACTGTGTGTAGTGAAAAACAGATAGCACAGTTTTGTATCCTCATTTGTCACAAGTCTTTCTGCAATAAGCGCCTCATAATAACTAAATAATGTCTGTATTTATCACATTTCCTGACCTGCATAATGTTCCATATCTAAAATGCTTGTTTTTCATAATCATAAAGATGCATGCTCGCATACCGTCTCCTTAATGTGTGTTTTTTCTTTCTGAGATACATAACTACTCACCTACCAGGCAAGTACATAGCCACTGCTATAATAGAGGCTTATCATTTGGAGGCAATTTCACACCATTCCGCACCTAATTGAACAGTCTGTTTGTTACACTTCCATTTTCCCCTCTCCGCCCTCTCGGCAAGCCTGTGGGACAGGCCTGAGAAATGACACTCTCTGCGTCTCATTGAGCATCCTCAAGCTCAAACAAAGCTCACAGAGCCGCACACAGGAGCCTCGCATGGCTGCCTTGACTCATTGCTTCTACTTTGTCTTCCTGTGAAGGAACGCAGCAGACAATAGGAGGTACGGGAAGAGGGAGGGTTTGGCTTGGATTGGCTTGGGGAGAATCTTTTTACGATGGTTGTCAAGGCGGTCTTGAAACATGGTGAAATTTGTGGTTTAAAAAAAAAAAAGGACCAAATAATATAAAGAAATTCATGATGTGTACATGCACCCACTTAATGTCCTTCTACGTGTCTCACTAAATGTCAATACCTCCAATTATGAGAAAAACTCTCCCATATGTATCAATGCAGAGACTGAGTGAGATGATGAGCCTGCAGTCAGTGATCCCTAATTTGTTAATCCTAATTAATATCCCTCTAATTGGGAGATAGCTGAATGTTGATCAGCTTGAGTGGAGAGAGGCAGGAAGTCACAAAAATACTTAATTGGGCTACTGATTGGCCAGTGCTAATTGAAGATGAGCTAAGAGAAAGTGAAGAAGTGGAAAAAAGCGGAGCACAGGGAGGCACGAAGGGAAACAGGGGGCTGTTGATGGGAACGCTACGACACTTCTGTACGGTGTGAGATGTTGTTCCAATTAAAGCACTGAGAATCTGTCTTTCTGCTTGCCTCTCGCTCTCCATATGTCTCTGCTTGTTAATTACTGGTGGGAGTTTTGAACAATCTGCTTCTAAAAACAAAGTGTCTGCTTTTATCTTTAAAAAAAGTAATTCAACAGATGTATTTAAGATATGGCTGCAGGAAGGGGAGATTACAACTTTTTCAAATCCTTAAAATGGGGGCTGCAAGTGAAAGTTTATCGTTTAATATAATGGCATTAAAATTGTTATGTAGACCTGCGTTAATATTACCACGCTGTTGTCTTTTGACAGAAAAATCTTCCAGTTGACACTGACAGTATGTGCCAAAGTTATGAACAATTCGTCGATCGTTTCGGACAGCCTAGCCTGTATGAGCACTCCAAAACCGATGGACGAAAAAAACGTACGATGCATTTATATGTTATACTATGAATCAGTATCAAGGTTTTCAGTCGCAGACAATAGATACAGTAGTAGATGAATAAAGAATAGATAAGATTATTACCTGTCAACAAATAATCTTTAGATCAGTGGCTCTCAACCATAGACTGTAGGCTATATATAAATGGACGTAGTGTCCGTGACGTCACCCATAAGTTCCTGCAGAGTTGCTGAGAAGCCCTTAGTAGGCGGAGTCGACCGCTGCCGTCTCGACAGTGACGTCAGAGTCTAACTCCCGCCTGCTCCAGCCTGATCCAAATAAGGGCAAAGAGGCGGAGCCGAGGCAGGACCTGCTGCCACCGAGCTGGAAGCTCCGGAGCTAGCTGAGGCTACCAAGCTAAGCTAACATGCTCAGCAGTGCTGCTCTGTGATGCTAGCTGGCTAACCTACAGTACGTCTGTTGCTCCCGATCTGCACATTTTACGGTGCCTAAGGTAAGTGAACATGAAATTATTCAGCAAAACTTTCAATAATAATCTAAGGTATTGAGTTTTGGGATAATACTTGCATACAAATCTTAAAATGCCTTCAGGTTTCTAAAATATATATTTTGTGGTAAATTCAACAGTGGATCCAGCAAAGATTCAAATATTTGCATGATTTTAGTTATTGATTTTTTACGGTTACTTAATTATACTTTTAATAAATTCAAGTCAAGCTTAGTAACATGTGATGGTACTGTAGCTAGTACTCTTACCTGTGTGCCTCCTCCACAACCAGGCTGTATTAAAACTCTTAAGTACCAGTTCTATCTACTTTAACCCAGGGACGTGCACAGACATTTGGAGGGGCTATTGCTCTAAACTGGAAAAAGGGCTTCCCCCCCGAAAAAAAACATAAGACCTTTTGAATATTCTAACTTGTTTTTAATGTAAAAGGTTCATAAAATAAAAACACAACACTGTGACACTCAGTTGACTTTTATGTCCAACTGCTAAATTCGTTATTCAGGCACATTTTTTGTTTTGCGGTCCATATCATTAAAATATCTAATGTGAGTAACTATTAAAGAAAAAATGGGGACAATCCTGTTTTAATGTAGTTTGACCAGACCATTGTAACTGCTGTGCAGACATAAGGTGCGTTCACACCGGAGTACTTTGGTGTACTTTTCCCACAATAGTTCATCAGAACTACGATATATTTGCGTTCACACCAAAAAGCCCCAGGAACTAAAGTAGCTCAACTTAGTTCGCGAGACTCGCTTTTCAGTCCCTGCTACAGAGCAGGGTCTATCGTGGGAGAAAGTAGTTCGTACGTCTGATTGGCTGTGCGGAATGCAAACCACGCCCGTTTGACTCAGAATTTTTTGTTGTAAGCGGCCATTGTATTTCCTCGCTTCGCAGCACACACGAAGAGATTCCTTTTGTGAAAGCAGTTATTATAGCAACACTAAATAAATCAATTGGAGCGGTGGAGTGATGAGGATGAGGATGTGTCTGCGCTTCTGGCGATTGACTCGGAGGACGCGAAGCGCCACATTCAGAAGCTTCTATTGAATGCAGTTTCTGTGGCTCTGCAAAGTTAGCAGACCTGGCAAAGTCATGTCGGGACGACTACCAAGGTAAAATAAAATACATGCACTGCACTGTTTTAATCTGCACAATACTGGTCTTAGATGTACTTTTATTTGCTCAGTAGATCGAGCTAGCCATGGTAGAACTTGCTAACGTTAGGTCCAAGCTGGCTAATAACATCTAGCTAGCTAGCTATTCTCATCCATGCCCGCTATGAACACGTTTTGACTTGTGAATAAGTGTGCAATGTTCTGTAATTTGCTTCACTAACTCATGGCACTAATCGTGTGTTTCAGGCGAGGTGTTTCTCTCAGGATTAGAAACTAGTTTTCCCCTCCGGGATAAAACGATGATATAACGTTAGCAATTAGCATGCTAGCTGGACATAATGCTACCTCTGTGGCTAATGCATAGAGGTAAACAATAGATTGTAGTTGAAGTAATTTCAAGTAATTTGCAACATTCATTCTACATGTTAATGGTAAAAGCTTAAACAGTTGATTACCTGCATGCCACAAAGACTGATGTTCTAATATTTTTGCACATTTAAGTAGAAATGTAATTGAAATTCTATTTACTGCCTAAACATTGTTCCTTGTATTATCCTAAATAGTTTGACCTTGTTTCCTCAGAAGGCTTCTCAGACTACATGGAGGATCCCTCAGAGAAACACAGTTTCCACGTTCAGTTCCCCCCCCGCTGAGAGTAGGCAGCTCCACACCCTGTGCCCGGTCAGCGGACTACCATCCTGACCGCTGCTGCCATACTGCAGCAAACAGGAGGGAACGGAGGTGAAAACACACTTTATACATTTAGATATGTGGAGCACAAAGAAAAGCATTGCTAAAAAACATTTAGCAGCTAAACTGTGGATAACAAGTAAACCACATTGGTTTGTTATTCAATATTCAAAAGCTTTTTGAATCATTACATGTAACTTGTTAGACGCTTTTATCCAAAGCTTACATACTCAATACTGTGGGCAATCCCCACAGGAGCACTTTGGGGTGAAGTGTCTCAGGGACACAACGACATGCTGACTGCAGTGGGGTTTGAACCTGTGCTCCCCTGATCCGAACACCAATGCACTTATCCACTGCGCCACACACCTCCATCCTTTACTCAAGTAGAAGTACAGATACTCGTGTTTGAAATACTCTGGTAAAACTTCTTAAGTAAAAGTAAAGAGGGCTTTGAAATGTACTTAAGTAAAAAGTACCCATAACTACCAGCTGTTTTAAAGAGTACCTGACCTCCCTTTATATTAATAGAACAATAATGTCATTGTTAGCTAATGAATGTTTCCATGCTGAACAACGGCAACATTTTCATTGGTCCCTCTTCTTTAGAGAAGACCAGGAAATGATGGATACACGGATCGTGTTCAAATCAATAGGCACGCAATGACTCTAAATAATAATGATCACGCCACCAAACACACATTCAAACTAAAGGAACCAGCCTGTTTGGGAAATGTGAGAAGTAGAAAGTACAGGTATTTGTGTTCAAAATGTAAGAAGTAGAAAGTACAGGTATTTGTGTTCAAAATGTAAGAAGTAGAAGTAAAAAGTGATCAGAAAAATAAGTAGTGGAATGTACTTAAGTACAGTAACGAGGTATTTGTACTCCGCTACTTCCTACCTCTGACCAACGTGTATCTCTATATTCAGAGCACCCAGTATAAGACGGTGGAGCGGGTGGTGCAGACTCTGAAGAACCTGTGCTGTGCTCTGGACGAGACGGAGACCCAGGCCATCACTGAGGCCATCAAAAGGCTGAAACACTCCGTCAACTTACCCCAGACACGCTCCCCCAAGGTGGGCTAACACTCTGCTTCACACGTTCATACAGAGCGTTGTTTACATGTTAGGAAGTGTTTGTAAGATCAACTTGTTTTGCTTTGCAGATGGGGTCCACATCGTCTGGTCAATCGTCAAATGGTACGTACACACAGTCACACTCCACCTCCACTTATTTAATTTAAATGTGATTGTTGCAGCTTATCATGTCAATGTGGTGCAAAGATGCATTACAGACAGAAATAACTTTTAAATAAAGTCACTGTCAAGTGTCTAAGGCTATTTAAAGACTATGTGGCTTATTCTATTACGGTATGAATCATTCAAAGCTTCATAGCATCATTAATGCTTGCATTAAAATTGTAAAAACGTTTAATTTGTATCTATTTGTCCCTATCATGTCCTGAGAGCCCTCCATCCCCCAATTGCTAGTGCCTTCACCATTTAAAATGTTAATAGTCAAATCAAAGGTGTTCCCCGTGTTCCTCCTGTTGTGTGCCTGCAGAGACAGATTTGGACAATGTTGTGTCGTTGTTGCGATTAAACTGATCTTGTATCTTGCTTATTTCACCTTAGGAAAGTGGGCACGCGATGACAGCTTCCTTGACACCATCATGGCGATGGCCCGCCGTGCCATAGTCAGCAAGGAGAATGAGGACCTGCGTGCCAAGGAGATGCACGACGAACGGCTGCTGCATTCACACAAGGCCCAGGAATCGGGCGACCAGCTGCTCATGGTGCCAGGTGGAGCAACAAAATACCTTTCAGGCTGGGCTTCTGGCAGTGCTAAGCGAGCTGATTAAATCCAACAGGCCTTCAATACAAAAATTAAGAAAAACTTGTCGTTGATAAACTGTACAATGACTTGTTGGGAGGCGTGTGGTGCAGTGGTCTGGTGCGTTGGTGTTCGGATCAGGGGAGCACAGGTTCAAACCCCACTGCAGTCAGGATGTCGTTGTGTCCCTGGGCAAGACACTTCACCCCAAATTGCCTACACCTGTGACAGTTAATTTTGTATTATTGTGATTATATATATATGCCACTGTTATTAATACTGACACCTAACTTTGCACAAAGGTGTGTCTGCTGCTGAGCCTACCTATTGTTTTTATATATATATATATATATATATATATATATATATATATATATATATATATATTGCCACTGTTATTATATTGTTTTGATACTACTGACACTTATTGATCTGCTGCTGATAAATAAAAGAGAACCTACATGCACGGCACTAGCATCATGACTGTCTTTGTTTAAACCAGCAGCAGTGCAGCGGTACACAGACTAACCTGTGTGTGTGTAACGTAGTTCTTCAGGTGTGCATGCTTAACATGTATGTTAACATGTATGTATACAAACGTTTTTAAAGAGCTTTCAACCTCATCCCATTGTCTTTAACACACATTTAACATAATATACTCATTAATATACAAATATACAGTATGATACTGACATTTAATCTTTGCACTAAGGTGTCTGCACTATTGTAATTGTGTCTGTTGACTGGTAAATAAAAGAGAACCAAATGCACTGTACAAAATATCAGCTTTATTGTCAATTTACAATTTCCATGCTGTTCAGATGCCTCTCCACAACGTTGCTTCCAGGCGAATACAGAGGAGTTGAAAAGAGCCCTTGGACATTCGGAAATCTTCGATCCACTGCACACGTTGGCAGCACCTCCCACCAGGCCGACGTTCTATTGTTCACCCAGAGTTCCGTAGTATTCGCATATCTGGAACACATACAAAGACACAAATTAGCCCTACATAACTCCATAAATCCTACATTAGATAGTATTAATGTGATTTAATGAACGTACCATTGCTGTTCTTTGGGCGTGATAACGGCCATCATCCTCGGCTGTACAACGGCGAAACATGTCCATCGTGTGTGATTTCGTCGTCTAATCCTTTTGTTAAGGCTTCTTAACCGCCTTCGCCTCCGACTCAGCATTTCTATTGCATTTGAATGGTCGATCTGTATTTGTGGCTGAGTTATTGGCTTAAATAACTCCGTTACGAAGCTGTATAACACGACCATCAAAACGTCAACTCCATACCGTGTCTGAGGTCGGAAGGTAAACAGAAGCATCCAGCGGAAGCGGAAGTTTTTTTTCTTCTTCTCTCGGTTTTTTGGCGGATTGCAACTATAAGGTGCATACCGCCACCTACTGTACTCGCCGTGAAGTTGTTTGCAGCCTGCCAGGAAAAGCTAAGCAGAAGAAGAATAAGTGACGTCAGCGGCTCATTTGCCTAATCCACCCCCAGGAACTCATTTTGGTGTGAACGCGATCTGCTTTAGTTCGTCAGAACTAAAAGAACTCTCATGAACTAAAGTTCTCAGGAACTACTGTGGGAAAAGTACTTGGTGTGAACGCGCCTATAGGCTACTGATAAAACAGGGCTTCTAACTAATTAGGCTACCTTAAATAAACTCACTAATGAATTAAACCAGTTCAATACACATTATTCTTATTCTTATCATTCTTTGTGAGCACAGTAACGGTAAGGTATCTAAATACTTATTTAGAATCCCATAACTTAATAACAGAGATGGTCAAACTAAAGTAGAGACATGGCAGAAATCCTACAATGAAGCGGGACAGTGAACTGTTCTCCGTGAGAGGGCGATCAAGAAAAGAGAGCGAGCGGCCCCGTCGAGGGAGTTTACGGAGCAGAGTAAAAGACACAGAAAGACACAGAAAGACAGAAGCACAATAACAAGTGTATTTAGGTGTTTTTTTTGTAAATAACCGACGGTGTCAAGAGGAAGTAAAGTCCCCTGGTTTGTCCCCTATACTCTATACGCATTTGGTGTGATCACCATAGCCATATGAGGCCGGACTCGGAGGGCTTTCCTTTGCTTCCAGCTGTCAGATTGTAAACAAAGTCACGTGACTGGGGGCAGATGACAGCGCTGACAAGTTGTGTTTTATCGCAGCGAGATGCTACAATACTAATTGTGGGCTTATGTTGATTCGGCCACAATAGAAAGCAAAAAAAACTCTCGCTCTCTCCAAAGGGGCAGGTCAGACAAAAAAAACTGTAAATTATAGTGTCCGTCCAAAAATTCGTCCTTTTTTACTTGGTGAAAACTACCCTTGGATGATGGGTTAGTAGACTAAAAGCTTTAGGAATCCAAAGTACAACATATAATAAGTACCCTGTATGAAGATTGATGCAAAACAAGTGAAATTTGACCTTTTTAGAGATTTAGCACAAAAAAAACACTTCTGGGGTCATTTGGGTGGATTTTCCATATCTCTGGCCCCCCTTGGTCGATTTTGATGAATGAAATCTCTTTATAACCGCTAGAGCCAATGGAATCGAGGGAAAGTCCTACACACACCAACACATTAACAAATAAGTAGTGAGAGTGACGCGTGGCCAAAACCGGAAGCTGCATACACTCTGTTGGCTACCATTAGCAACTAACTTTTTTTTCTCCGATATTTACATAAAAATTTAATTATGGATTATAAATAATTTTTTCAAAGCGACAGATACATTATTAACCTATGGATCAACCGATTCAGCCGCATTTTTTCCCGTTTTAATGCCATTGAACACGTCTTTTGATCAGATTGACAGCTACGGTGAGACGATCTCCCGTAAAATCTCCGTAAAGGTACGTGTTGTGATGTCTGTGTTTGCTTCCCCTGTCGCGAGTTCGGATCGTTCAGTGCTGATACTATACCTATATAATCTGTGGAGTCTCAGCTTTAATCGGATATATTGTATGTGCAGTTACGATAAGTAATAAGGGTATCTTTATCTTGAGTTCTGTGCTAAGTGCGTTAGCATTTTTTCGCTTAGTGCTAATTCAGAGGCTTGGTATTACCCGTGTTTTATTTTGGTAAAAATGGTTAATATCTTCAGTTAGCTGAGATTCTTCCCGTTAATCTGGTGCTACACATTAATAGTTTCATAAATGTTAAGAAGCCCTGAAACACAGTCTCGAAGAAAAACGGTGGGGGGGGGGTCCACCGTCGTCCTTAAGAGGTTAAACAATTAAAAAGACAAAATCAACTAATACATGTATTGAAATAACAATATTCATTTTAGGTGCCTCTTCTTCTTTTTAAATTAAACTTTCAGATGTGAGGTATTGAAATACAGTAATAGTATTGTTTATTTTTAAAAACTGAGCCACTCCTTACAGCTAACTTCATATTTCTAATTGTCTAAAGCATTTATTACACACATGTTCCCCTCTCATATTCACAGTGTGGATGTCCAGAGAGCTGCAGAGACTTTGGGAGAAACCTCAGTGTGACGGATGTCCTGTGGGTTTGGCCGGAGAGGACTGAGGTAGAGCGGTCTTTCTCTGGGAGGAGGACCAGGCCTGATGGAGGAGGACCAGGCCTGATGACGAAACCAACTAACTGCACCTGTGAGCCTATACTGGGCACAGCTGTCAAACTAATTATGGTCCTGTTTGACTACACACTATTCAGTGTGCAGATCTTTGTGTTCACAATAAAAGTGTAGTTTCTTAGTGAATGTCTTGTATTGGTCTTTAATCTCATATCAGCTTTTCATTTTCTTCTTGCCCCTCGAAGAAAACGGTGAGGCAGTTGTGTCCTTCAGGTATGTCCTTTCCCAACAGAAATGACAAGAAACATAAAACATATGACATTATTGCAGAGTAAGTGTGTTATTTATGAAAGAGGTGCGTTAGAGGGCTGTAGAAATAAATACAAAATTATTTGAATGTGTTTTTGAAACTCATCACTTTTTGTTGCGGAATAATTTGCCCTGCATGTCCTCCTTCGCCCTCTGACGCAGCTGACCAACCTTGAGCAGCCGTTATCTCCCATAAGGAGGGGCTGCCCTAGCATATTGTTGATGTTGCCAGTTTATGACCGGGTAACTCTGTCAGAGATAGTTATTGTTGTGGGACACCTGGAACACCTCCTTCTCGGGGTGTAGATGACCCCGAGCCATAAGCGACAACACATGTGATTCAGTGTCCTCAGCTGTTTAGTCTATCTATTGAAGAATGTTGATTATTACACTCTCAACTAGTTAAAACCTCGAGCTACAGGAGGGTTCTTCAGAATTGATTGTGGCATCTCAACCGTGTGGTCAAACCGTGGCCCGTGACATGTCTTGTGAATTCTCCGGCCGAAGCTCCAAATAAACCGTCAGTGTTTGCCATCAAAGCTCCAGCTCTCCATCGTGTCTCTCTCTGAGTCCTGACTCCAATTGCTTCAGAAGTTTCCCCCACACTTTGTACTACAAAGATAATCAGATTAGGAATGAACAGTCTGCAGTTAATCAACATTAAAATATATGTTATTATTAAAATAATATTATACTGTTATCAGAACTTAGTGCAACTGTAGTGTCATGCTGTGTCATTGACATGTGAAAGCTGACAACAAATCATGTTGCTTGTTAAAATCTAAATGTAACCTTTTGCATGGAAGGAACACTCAACTTCCCTGATGTGTTAGTATTTAGTCATTTTTAATGGAATGTATATCAGTGTATTATAGTTGTTACTTTATCTAAAACGTTTCTAGATTCTTTGTAAAGTATGAAAGGGGTCTTTGTGCCTTTCACTCCATGCTGAAGTTCACTGATGTTAGGAA